ATAGAAATCTCAATTAAAGTTCTAAAACAAATATTGAGCAGAATGTTTTTATTATTTATTTTAAATAAACAATTAACAAAGAACTTGGGAAATCTCACTCTGCGAGCTTGCTACATTCCAAGTATTCAAACGTATCTTAATACCTGGAAATATAGTTTTGAAAGAATTTGGTAGTGTTTATATTTTGGATGGTATAAATCTTAGATTAAAGACTTAAACAATAAGTGTTTATCTTAATATCAACATTCGTAATTAAATATCTTATTACAAACAATCGTAACTATGTAAAGTAACAACGAACAATAGTGAATAAATAAATATCTTAATATCAACAATCGTAACTATACATTAAACTATGTACTATAATATTGTACTGGTAACTAACAGAGTAACAGACACAATATAAGCCGTTCTAAACTTATATTTAGAAATCTAAAACAATTATAAATTATCGTATTCGACAAACGTATATTATTTAAGAGGACATCGTGTTAACTCCTTCTACAATATAAAAGGGAATTAACATATATTATCCAACTTAAAAGGTAGGTAAGAACCTATAGTTTGTGTGAGGTGTTTTAATTTCTTCATTATTTTTAAATATTCTAATATTTTATATACTCATAAGGAGGGCCCGGATTATTATGCAAATGCATATTCTTCTACGTTTGACTTATAATAATTCTGATTAAATATCTTGGAAGTTTCGCAATACGTAGATTCTGCTGTTAATTTTTTTTTGTACATATTTTTGCATATTTGCATCAAAATGCATAATAATTGCATATTTCTGGATAATTACATAAGAATTGCATATTTAATAAATACTTAATAAAATATTTTGAATTTTACTCAAAGTTTGATATACATGGCCAGTGGCAAGTAACATAGGGCCCAAGTGTTGCTTAGGCAACACCTTAAATATGGGCGGGTGGGTACTGATAGAAAAAAAATAGAATATTTTATAGGTCGTTATAACAAGAGTATAATGAGGAGTAGGTAACCTAAAATTATTTGAGCAACGCCTTACAAATTAAGTAAGTTTTTAAAATATTGTAAACAAGTTATATTTTATAGAAATATTGTTGTTGGCATTTTGTATATTGTTTATAATTGCATGTAGGTACACGAAATGAAATCGTCAAATGTTTAGTATATTTTTTGTATAGGTTTTCATTTTGTCCTAAGTAAATGTACCTAAACAAAAACTAATTCAAATATAAAATGTATTATAATTCCTGAATTTTACTGCTTTGGCGATGTAGATATGCCTAATGTAAAACCTAACGTTTAAATATACAGCTACATAATCGATTTCCATCAATCAATATAATATCATAGAAAGTTATATAGTAATATGCACAGAATAAATACAGTAAAAATGATATCGTATAGGTACCGTATGTGACATCTTTGTCGATTACCCGTGAATAAATGCGTAACATTATATTGGCGACAGCTGTGTATGACAACTGTTGCGCTTATAGGTGGCGCTCCTCGTCGACCGTTTCAGACACGAGCTCGTCAAGGCACTTAACTACTTCCTGAATAACTTCATAAACATTTTGAATTTACCAAGACTTTCTCAAAAAACCGCTGAACGAATGCCGGTTATCAAAATATTGACGGACGACAGATGCTAAGGATGTAATATCGCCGGTAAAAAATTTGATACGTTAAATAATATTTAGTACGTTAGTTCAAGGTACAACGTTATTTTATAATATACAAATATAAAAATAAACTACTAAAGAAATATAATGTACTGTAAGTTATTTATAAAAAACACACTTTTCTTGACTTCTTAATAGAAAATTGTTTAATGGTATCTTCAAAGTCCAAGGACCTAAGTACATCACTTTCGTTACTTAAAATGGTTAAGTTGGATAGACGACCTTGTGTCATTGTAGTTCTCAATATATTTTTTATAAGTTTAATTTTTGAAAATGAGCGTTCTCCACTACTGTTTGCCACCCTTAACACCAAGTACATACGCAGAGCAATGTCTACATTTGGAAATGTAACTTTTAAATTTTCTTCGAAGAGTATTCTGAACAAAAATAATTCCCAAGATTCTAGCAACTCCGCGATGTGTACTGTTTTACACAAGTTTTAGGGTAAAAAATGTATTATTGTACTAGCGATAAGCTTGATGAAAGTAACACTATCTGATTTATATAAATTATTGATATAGAAAAAAAAACACAGATAGTATCAAACAAACATTATTTTTAGACACTGAGCAATGTTTTTGCCAGTAAATAAAAACCATACTTCGAACGTAGTGTATAAATGTATAATAATTAATACAACACTCACGAAATAATACTAGTTTTGAAATTCAAATTACTATTATATACGAGTATACGACGCATCACTCAACACTGTAGTTGAATAATTCTATTTATAATTAAGTAGTAATAGTAGAAGACTACCAATCCCAATATAGTGATTCGTTTACTTAAAAAAAAATAAAATATTTTTTTGCAAATTACTAGAAAAATTTTTAAAAAAGGAAATTATTTTGTGGAGGCCCCTTACTAACTGGATCTTGTGGCGTCCTCGGGGCCTGGGCCCCGTGCCCCCCCCCCCCCCGTAAATCCGGCCCTGCCACCAGGGTTCATTGCACATGGAATCGGTTGACCCCTGCGAGTATCACTAATGTGGATACCTCGGACGCATACTTTTTGATAGGTGGGACCGTGGGACTGCGTGCGAGTCGTCCCTCACATCTAACTTGAAATCTTACTGACTAATAACCATGGTAGTAAAACTCTTTGTTCGATATCATATTTTTAATGATGTATTATATGTGCTTCTAACAGTAGGTATTAGTGTATTACAGTTGTCTTATTTAGCAGATAATTTTAGATGTAGGTTAATTGTATTTGAATGATACCTTACTTAAAACGTTTCTCATTTAGTATTTAAAATAATGAAGTACTTATTATGGCCTACGAGTTTTAATTAAATCTTAATTCAGTTTTTGTACATATTTCAATAATTAATACACATTTGTATGCTATGCACATTGCACACATTTTAAATAATGATATTTAAATTGTCTTTTTTTCTCTTAATACTTTTTTTAAAATTTTTTTAAATGTTTGGTTCTTTTAACACTCAATACATTTTTTTCCATATTTTTGTGCATATAATTGAATTTTTGAGTGCATAAATATATGCATATTTAACAATACAAATCTGGGCCTTACGCTTAACAATAAAATACTAACAAAACTTAAAAACATTTTAAAAAAAACCATAACAAACGCAGATAATATTCTTACATATGAGTTTGATAGTATAAGTGCGGATTCACTCACTAAAATCATAGCTACAATAAAAAATTGGTTCTGCCGAGTGCAAATTTAGTATGTAGTAGGCGTTTATAAGACGGTAACAACACAATATGCGAGTATGTTGTCGTCTTAATACATTTATTCAATTTTAGTGAAATTGTACTGAGCCATTCTGTTGGGTGTTTACCAGTTGCCCCCTAAGGCTATTATCGCGATTTTAAAAATATACCAGTTGCCCCCAATCAAATGTACCAGTTGCCCCCAATTGAAATTTGAATGTACCAGTTGCCCTCACATGTTATTATATACACAAATACAATATATAGCTCGTAAAATAGGGGTGGTAAATATACAAATCATAAATAAAATATAAAATTCAAAATTATTATAATAATTTGTCAACATAACATGTAATTTTAGATGCGTCTGAGTGTATATAATCATTGAAAACGTATGAATTGTTATTTAGTATGTTAAAAAAAAAATGCTCTGGCTTTGAACTTGAATTCAATCCGTCAATTATTGTATCCGATAAAATAAATATAAAAATAAAAATATTAGCAGATTAGATTTTGTAAAAACGGTTAGTAATTATTATAACAAAACATAATAATTTTGAATTTTATACTATTTATATGCTGAAAAATTATTATATTTTGATTTTGTACTATTTTATATTAACAAATTATTATAATTTTGAATTTTATATTTTATTTATGATTTGTATATTTACCTCCCTTATTTTACGAACTATATATTGTATTTGTGTATATATTAACATGTGTGGGCAACTGATACTTTTTCCTCTAGGTAGTTTGGGAGGATTTGGTATAAAAAAGGTATTTTTGGTTGCAACTGGTACATGCCCATTCTGTTTCCTGACATTCTACGAACCTATGTGGTACTGAAATTCAATACTTTTGAATTTTTTATTTTCGACCCTCAACCTGCCAAGTATTCGAATAATGTAAGAACCAGAGTTTTATTAATAATATAACCTATTCATATTCGATATATCACTATTTTATCCATAGGTACACTTATAACTTGTAGGGTACTTAGCATTCGATTTAATAATCTGTATACAATATTTGAAATCAACGCATATGGTAAGTACCTATGACCTGTGAAAATCGGATAAAAAAATAATCTAAAAACTTATTTTTATTCAAGGTATTAGGAATTTAGTTACCATCATCATATTATTATTTGTATTTATTCATTAATTAATTTAATATATATACGGCAATGGCACCTTAGTTATATGCATGTACAGTGTAAAAATTGCATAATATGTATAATTGCGGTTATAATCTATAAAATAAATTAGAAATGTTTATTACTTTTTATTTAAAATTGTGTTTTTTTTTTATTTACAAATTTACTGCTGGTGTACATTTGAATAAAATGAAAGTCCCCACACATTTGAATTACATAATATTATAACACGTATAAATTATAAAAAAAAACTTATTTAGTCTAGTCGCTTTTATTCGTATGAAAAAAACCATAATTATAATATAGTGCTTATATTTAGCAGGGTTGGGTGGTCTATATAGCTGCCCTCCTGGAATTCACCACTTACACAATACCTAATATTATTAATATTTACAACACCTGACTTTAATTTGTAGTTCAAGTGCGTATTTTTAAGTTATTTATGAAAAAACCTCAATCCCACTTTAAATTATGTTTTAGACCTTAACACAATGACAGTCTCATGTGATAGTACATCATCGAGTGATGCCGGAGATCACAAGTCCAAAGATATATCAAGTATATTTCAGTTTATTATTAAATGATAACTTTATACTAGACACATTAGGCTGCAATGAGTAATAACTGCTTAGGCTTTAAATATCAGTAACTGTCTTACCAAAGTGTTTTATAATTGACATACTACGTAGATCATCGTTCGATACATTTATCTACATAAAATATATATATCATTACAATGTATATACCTATTTAAATTTAAATGTATCAAAATTCGAAAGTCTTTATTATTTAACACGATAACTGAAATTAATTGATAAATATTATTTGGATTAAAATTTGTTTAATCTGTACATTTTTGTTTTTAAACACTTATAACTTAATCCTAAGTATTTGGAGAAAAAAACGTTTTATTTTGGTTAGTGTTATTCCGTCAATATTGCCTAAACATATTTCCAATCTGAATTCTGATAACACTAATGGTAACTTTGATGAAAAATTACAAATTAGGTCGTTGCCCGATTTGAAATCGTAAACTATGGACACACTGCAGTACATTTACAGGGCACTTCATAAATAAAAATCGTTTCTGCACAGAATTTTAAACTACTGTAGGTACAATTTATGGGTCATATATTATAAATGTAATATGTTATAATCGATCGATTTTTATTTACTCAAGCCAAAATTAAAATCAGATTTTTCGGGTGTAAAACGATTAGATTAAAATGTGTTTAAATAAACTGTAGATGTGACTCAAGTAAATATAAACAATTATAAAAATAAAAATCGATCCATAGATTATTTATATTATAAAATCCCCTATATATTTGTGCGTGCATATTTAAAATGTGGGATTAATGAACTGAGCTATTGTTTCACTATAATTACGATATTATATTTTTTTCAATCACTCTGTACATACCTACCAATAATCCTGAAAAAAAAATCTGGTAAAGTAATCATAATACAGTTTCATGAACTGTTGTAATATATAACAGTTGTATATTGTATATTATACACTATGCGTACTCGAATAAATTGTCTCCGGGCCAAGTTACAGAACTGTGCATATACAACTAACTTACTAAGTACGTTTATTAAAAAAGTTTTTATCGGTGAATAAATTGGTTTCAACTTTTTTTTCATTCTATGTTTTTAGTAAATAAACAACACCGTTACACTTTAGTAGTATTCGCCAATTATTTTCACTACGTGGTAATTGAATCGAGTTTGTGAGACAGTTCACTGCGCGTTTTTCATAATAAATTTTATTCGTACATGTAATACTGCAGTGCACTCTAGTATTCATGCATAGCAACTATAGTAAGTATAAACACCTTAAAAATATGTCGAAACAGAAATAAAAACTAAAAATAATAATAAAAATATTATAAAAGTGTTAACTGAATTTTATTTACCTATTAGTATTTTGTTTTTAACGCTTATAATTATTGAGTGTAAAAATAAATTTATTTTTGAACCTAATTTTCCATGACATCGTATGCTTTTCATATACTTTAGTTTACAACTAGAGAACGTTTTTCTTGAAATTCATAATAAAATTAATTTTACATAAACAATTTATAATAGTATAACAATGAACATTATTTTTATTTTCGGCGTTATTTAGAGTAGATTTTCGTTTGCTTGAGGAAATTGCGTCTTGACAATCAACTTTTTGAATAAATGTTATTTGGTAGTTGAGTACAAATTATATTTAATTTTAACTCCCTATGAATATAACTCTATTGTGTTATAGACAAAATGTAAATAATGACTATGAAACATCGAAACCTTAACTTTCATGTAAATTTTCACTTAACAAAAATAGACTCTTTTTAGTTTGATAACAATACCAACAAATAATAGCAATTAACAACTAATTTCAAATATTATTGTACTTTAATTATATGAAGTTTTTGAAAACATCTTATTCTCACTCAGTTTATCTACATACTATAAACACATGTAAAAAAATACAATTAAAATAATCATATACCATTGCATTTGAGTTACCTTGTCGCTGAGGCCTCGAGTTATTTCTACTTTCAGCTATACAAAACTGTAATGAATGAGTGATACATTTATTGCTATAAAACTCTTTCATTTTGTTTTAATTTAAAAAATTCTATAATCTGAACATAGAATATTTGGTACAAAGGTATGACACTAATATTTCTTGTGAAGTTAAACTGTTAAACATATTACCTGATACAATTTATTTCAAATTTGTTAGGGTATTAGATTACCGTGTAGGGTATAACAGTCAAATTAAAATTCATAAAATTAGGTTATTTTATTAACACAAATTACATTCAAAATCGGTCGAAAATTATAAACAAAATGATATAACAATTTTTTATCATAAATTATATTTGGCAATATACTTTGTACAGTTTTTTGTAAAAAATCTAACACGCTTTTTTCAGAAGAAATAATCGCATACAACTCAACTGCTGACATTTTAAAGTTTTAAACACACGCAATTTAGGATTGACACGTACTGACAGTTATGTCAATAATGAGCAATGTACTATGTTAGAATGACAAAATATCTATTAGTAAGAAACAGTGAATATAATATCATAAAATGATAAAGATAAGCAAGCATAGATTGTTCGTACCTGTAATATAAATAATCGTCTTAGCGAGTCACATACTAAACTCGATTTTCGATCGGTAGGTCACATACTAAACGAATACTCATGTAAGAATGCACCTAATAACTGTTTTTAGAAACTTATAAGCACTCTGAACTTTAATAATATTTTAGGGTTCTCATTAACCAAATGCAATAAATAAATATTCCTACCATGATTTTCTACTCTTTTTAACAACATAATAAATGAGCAGCAAACTTTATGGAAGATAAATTTAGGAGTTATAAATATATTTGATCTATATATTATCCTTATTTAAATGTATTGAATACCAATATACAGTTATAAAATATTTACATTATTCATATTTAATTAAAAATAACGTTATGCTCTTGGAAGTTGTAAGTTTACCATGTTCCTCAATATTCCCTATGACAATTTTTTTTAAAGAAAAATTTCTAATTGATATTTTATAATACAATACGGATTTATAAACCATTATACAATACAAATGACTAATTTAGGGGGAAGCGTTTCAAAGAGGGTTTTTATCCACTTTTAAGTTTTAAGAGAATACTAGTGAAGGAATCTATTAGATTACAGCCGATACAACTAAGTACCTATTCATCCATGACAAATATATAGTAATATATTATATATAAATTAATATTTACTCACATATATCATTGATCAATGTCAGTTCTTATTTATAATTTTATACTATTACCTATTCTATAGTTTTGAAAAATGTGTAAACTATGATTTGTAGACTGATTACTAATTATTATAAATTCGTATCAATTAAAACGGCCAATATAGTCGATAAATGCCAAGAAACAACGGTTGCCACAGCGAAGGTCAATTAAATAGGCATGTTTTAAAATGGAATAATTGCCTAGAATTTTAGATTTTAAAAAACAAAAACACGAGACGATCAAGGAACAAACATTAATTATATGTAAAATGAACAGTAAAAATGTTGCTATTTAATAAAAAAACCTACAACAGGCATTTGGTCGATTGATATTTATATAATAATATATCTTAACAGAAATTAGTTTCAACTTATAATTAATGATAATAATAGGTAGTATTAAAATGTCGTTTTTATTTTAAACTAAATATTGCTCTCCTGTATAAATAGTAAATACATTTACATTTTACATATTTCCTATAAATTATAAAACTAATGACTAATAATACATTGTACGGTTGTCGGTTCACAGTATCAGTTACTTCGAGGTCGGTCAGTTCATGTAGGTCAATCAAAAAAACTAGCGTCTTGCAGACGTCGCTGTCTCCGAGGCCAAAACCACAACCATCATCTTCACCGAGAACCCCCAAACCCAAATCATTTAAACAGTTAGACACACAACAACAGCTGAAATCGGCCAACAGTCGGCTTTCCAGTTCGGTAGAGGTTATAAAGCAAGTGATTTCGGAACCACCATCAACTAATGATCAGTGCAACTGCAGCCAATCTGGATATTCGGAACTGTCCGTCGTCAACAGCGTCATAAGCAACAACAATAACAACAACGATGACAAAAGCACCCATAATTTAGGGTCTATGGAAACTGTTGACGTTGTCAACCAGAAGCAACAGCAACTGATGTGCGCTGATAACTCCGGATCTTCGGTAGACATTACAGAACCAACCACCGTTTACTCCGAGAAGCCAGTAATAATATTACAGAACGAATGTGGCGACCACATTGTATCTGTGTCTAGTCCGTCGACTCCGTCCACTACTAACGAGCAGCAAATCGAGAATGCACAGCAAAGTAAAGGTGAAAACGTTTCATCCGTTTCCTCTGAGTTGGTTCAGTCAACTGCCAACAAGCAGCTAACCGAAAGTGCACAGCAAAGTGAAGGTGAAAACGTTTCATCCGTTTCCTCTGAGTTGGTTCAGTCAACTGCCAACAAGCAGCCAATCGAAAGTGCACAGCAGATCGAAGATAAAAACGTTTCATCCGTTTCTTCTATATTGATTCTGTCCACTGCCAACAAGCAACCATTCAAGAGTACACAGCAGATCGAAGGTGAAAATGTTTCATCCGTGTCCTGTCCACTGACTCCGTCCACTACCGTCGACCAGCAATTCAAGAGTGTACTGCAAGTCGAAGGTGACAACGTTTCATCCATGTACAATCCACTATCTTCATCCATTACTATCGAGCAGCAAATTGAGAGTGTACAGAATATTGAAGTCGAAAACGTTTCATCCGTCTCCTGTCAACTAACTATGTCTACTGCCGTAGAGCAGCAAATTAATAGTGAACAGCAGATCAAAAGCGATCCGGTATTATCCGTGTCCAGTCTACTGTTTCCGTCCATGGCCGCCGAAAACTTGATGATGCCGGAAGTCACTAACGTCGAGAACCTAACAGCCCTTAAAGTTGTTATGTCGTCGTCACAGCTGCAGCCACTGCACGAAGATGACGATGAGTGTCCCGTTCAATCAAATACTGGTAAGAACTAAACCAACAGTAGTTTAATTCATGTGATTAATATTCGGTAGTCAGCGATCGAAATAGGTAGGTATGTAATTCGTTTTTGTAACACGAGGGAATGAAATAGTCGATAGGAAAATTCTGGTAGCAATTATAAGTAAAAATCTTTAATAGAGCCAAAAAAGGCTATAACATGTTTGGGAATTTTATCACAAAACTCGTCACGTTTCATTATATATTTGGGTACTAATTTTTTACTGATGCCGTAACACATTTGAGCACTATATTATAGACTATCACTACAGTAAATATATTTACTTGATATATTATCATTGTGTAAAAATTGTATAGTATATATATATGTATGTACTCAATTATATTATGTAGTTTCTAAATATACAGTTATAAACATCCATGAAATTATGAATTGTGCATACTTAGTCATAACTCACAATAAAAGCTTATATTTTTATTTTTATTTTTTCATCGACAGAAATTATGGTGCTCTCAGAAAAACCCGCTTTGTCCAAGTACGAGACGAAGATTAAAGAGATAGACAACAACATAATTTCGTACTCAAAATCGATCCTGTGCACGGTGCTGGTCGTCGTGGTCCTTCGCGTCTTGTTTTGATACAATACGATCTAATTTTTTAAAACTATTATATTATAAGATTTCTATGTTGTCCATTTATATATTATAGTATTACTTACGTACGAGTAAGGTTTTCCACCAACCGGTTGAGAGATTATCGATTTTCAAAAGCATTCGTCATAATTTAAACGGATGTTTTTGAAAATCGATCGTCTATGGACCCGCGGTAAACGTTACTCGTTCGTATCGAGTGATGATAATAATAATTTACTTCGCATCCTAGAGATCAAAACTCTTTATTCACATTATGTTATACGTAAATTCGTTGTGATTTTTTTTCCAACTACCTACTGATGATTTATATTTTACTGTTTAATTAATTTCATAATATTTTTTTACACCGTTTAGTTAACACAATAATTATTATTACTACTATACCATATTGCTGCAAGTCCATTATTCAACCAAATAAATTATTGAAATCTCAACTGCAGTCAATTTAAGTTAAATTATCGTCACTTTCATTTATTATTATTATTTGCTATTTACGTACTATGGGTATTATTTATGTACTATATATTTTTTACAATGCGAGTTATTTTTATTTTTATTTGAATTATTGTACTATTTTTGATATATTATCGTTACGATTGAAAACTGATTTTTCGTCATAAGTGAATTGCATATTATAAATGTTATAAGTACAGGATTTCAGTTTTAATTACAAAAAAAAATCTTGAACGAGTGTTTTATATGTTTGTTGTTAATTTATTTTTTTGTAGTTAATTCACGTGTTCCTGTATGTATAACGTAAGCTTAAAAAATTGTTTTTCACTGTACCATTATTGTATTACATATTATTATACTATTTATTTGATTGTCGATTATTACAAAATCACTCATAAATACTAATATATTATACTTGACGAGTTAAATGTCCATACTCTCATGAGAATTGATTTATTATAACATTTAAAGTTAAGAAATTTATTTTATATTAATCACATTCTTATTATATAAGCTAAAATTAATTAAAAGTTTCCTTTTTACAAAACATTTGAATACAGCTTAAAATATGTATTGCTTAAACAGTAATAATGTGTTTTATTAATTTGTTTGTTTCATAGATAATATTAATATATACCTCCCAAAGTATTCTACCAAAAATTTATTTCTACCTCATCAAAATTACTACACCCATTATTATTGTTATTGAATTAGAGTTTTGTATTTTCTGTATTGTGATTATTGGGTTTATTCCGCACCTACTAACTCAAAAATATATTTACATATACCTAATTAAATTTAAATGTGTTCACTTTTTTAGACTCATTCAGCAAATATAAAAAAATCCAAATGGAACTAGTTGTAATAATTAACAAAAAATAAAATTGTTATTGAATATAATAACCTATAATACATCCTATGAACTACATAGGTATAATATTAGTTGAATTATATTCAACAAGTTAATCAATAAGTAATTCAAATATTAAATGCAAAACTTTGGATTTTAAAATGTATAATGTAATTATAACTTTAACGTGTATACACAAGATTTCATATTCAAAACTTTCAATGCTTACTTCAAATTTAACTTTAAACGTTGAATCAACATTTCATACCTTAGTAACCTTATCAACTTGTAAGTGATAATGGTCTTCAATTGTTGCAACAATATTACTAATGTCTAATTGTTTATATATTAGAATATATTATTAACTTGTAAGTCAATTCCAACGTATTGACCGTTGTGATGTGAAATTCATTCAATTCAAAACAAAATATCAAAAATTGATAAATAGAAATTCGTTAACATACCGCTGAATATCAAATATATAGTAACAATTTTAAATTCAAAAACTTATAAAAAACGTATGTTACTTTCCAATAAACTTTTATTTTTGTTAAGGTTAACAAACTTGTATTGAATCTTCTATTAAAATGTTTAATCTTGGTTATGAAAAGAATTTTTTTATGAATTTCTAACTAAAAAATATATTTTTGGGATTTTTATATTATATTTTGTCAACATTTGAACCTCAAACTTTTTTAGAAACAAATCATGACTGCCAATATTATATTTTTGATACTTTTAGATTGCTCAAATAAACGTATATGGAATCTTGCACCTACTAAATTTTCAAATATAAGGTATTAAATTACAAATTAACCACAAACTAATTTACACACTTATAATTTTTAAATTTTTTCAAATATTCATAGCTCAGAAAAATTCAACACATATTGTGAATTTGATTTTTTTTTTTTAAGTCTAAAGTAATAGAGTTGTTATTCCTTGATGAATATAACAAACAAACTCTTTTATTTTTACCCAATTATTAAAAAAAGAATAACAGAATTTCCCAATTTTTAAAATTACCAACTAGATCAAATTGTCTACCTAACCTACTTTCATGGTGGAAAATTAGATCATTGTTCCTGCCAACAAAAGTTTTGTAAAAAAACACAATAAAACAGCTGAATTTTTGAATATAATTAACTAAGTATTGAGTATAATTCAATAATTACATATTGATACATTGAACTATATTGATAAAAACTACCATTTTCACCAATAACTTACAAACTTTACCTTATTTTTATTAAATATCAATTAATTATGAATTTATTATTCAGTATTTTTTCGTGATCTCAGCATTTCAACGTAAATATGTTTTTGTGTTAAATACAAGATTAGTTGTTTCTGACAGATTTTTCGAAATGTTTTCAGTATCATTGTTACATATTATAGCAAAAACATTTTATGATTTATAGATTTTCCTTGCAAACGAAAAATATGGAGTGGCAAGCTATGGTTACACTTATTACTTTTTATTTTATTTTTTGATACTTCTATTGAATGGGTACATAAAAAAATGTTTTGTAGAAAGAAATGGGAGCCCTGTCCCCTTTAAACTGGGCTTGTGTATAATGTGACAGGCTGCGCTTTTCATTTAAAATATTTGTTGAATCTATTCAATTTAAGTACAACGCACTGCACGTCTACACACAGGTACCTACCATGTATATACGATATAATTTACTTGACGTCAGTTGAAGGGTAGTCGTGACGACTAGGTGTACGTACCTATTGGACACAATAGGTAGACTGATTTATTTATAAATTATAATATATATGTACTCGTATAAAACGTATTATATATCTACTATGTTTTTTTCGTCGTCCTTGTCAAAACGACTGAATGTGCGAGTTCTGTTTCCCAATAAAAATACAATTTAAAAACACTGTTCATCTAGCCAAAGTATATTTTGTAGTATTATAATAAGTATTATTCACATTTTAATGTTAAAATACAATTACCTTGTGTATACTATGTTGAATCCATACTGTACCTACAAGCAATGTGGAGTCACCGTAGATATAAGTGATATAAATAGGTAATAGGATGCTTTAATTTTACACGAATCTAATGTTAGTTTATAATGATAGTTATAAATAATGTGTATAGTATAATAATATTAAATGTTTTTAAAATACGTAAAAAAAAAAGGTAAAGTACCTCATTACGTCTTGTTCCATTTCATTGGATTCAACTAAACTTATGCATAATAAAACTCTTGGGGTGATCTAGATTGGCAAATAACATTCTGGTATCATATAGTACTGTAATTGTAAGTCACTGGCTCGTCGAATGAGTTCGTAGTAACATGTATAATTTGTCGAAATTATTATTTATTATGTAAACAAAATAAAACATTTCATTTTTTAATATATTGTATGTAATCACTAAATTTAAAAAAAAATGATAAGTATATAAATTATATCGATAAATAAACCATGTATCCGGACGACAGTATAATGTGCTGTCTATTTCCCAACAGATGTAACATGTTTCCCCAAACGCCAGTAGTTGTATTTTCAAATACCATGGAATATTTAAATATGCTGATCGTCTTAAGTTCACCTTTCTTCATAGTTTGGAGCATATTGCAAATAATACTACGTTTTGTTGAGGTAAAATTGAAATTAATATTTTCTCATATAGGTGCAGAGTGATAGTTTCTATAGTTTCTAGTTTAAAATGTTGGAATAGTCCTCTGATTTTCAGAGCATCTTTTTTTAACAAATATTCGTGATACCTTGATTGTATTGTGTAAGTATATTTCTATAGAATAGAAAAAACAATAAAATTAATAAAATATTTGTGTGCTTGTGTACCCCATATTGCCACAATATAATTAACAGCTAAGTGTTATTAAAATTAATTAATTACTTGAGTAGTGAGTGTACAATACATTTTTAAGTTTAAATTCAGTGCTTGATTTGGGGGGGGGGAGGACGTGAGAGGATGAAGTCCTCTTTCTTTTTTCTTTTTTTATTGAGGGTACCCTTCTATTTTTTTAAAACGGAACCCTGGGTACGCAACATTTACTAATTTTTTCTCCAAATATAGGTACCTACTATACTTTGGTACCTATAATACATATTGATATAGTTATATCATTATAAGATAATATACATTTAAATCCCAAGAGGTTTGGGATATGGTTTCTAAAACATTATGGTGATATCTATTGTTACCATAGATAGTAAAACCATCTTTCATTATTTTCGATTCGATAAAATTACTTGTATATACCGATGATAAATTTATAAAACCAATATAATATTGTGATCAGTTATTATATTTTAAAATCTAGTTTAAACTTTTTTTTGTTATTATTATTGATGATATCAGGGTTCAACATTTGAGGTAAATTAACTTGAGTATATTAAATTATATACGTATGAAAAAACATGATGTTTGACATTTAAAATTCAGATGATATAATAAACAGGTCAAAAGTAGATTCAAAAGTTGCTTACCTTAATAATTTATTTAAGGAAATCTGAGATCTTTGTGCTGTTGTCATTATTATTTACTTTGTTAGGTTAGGTTAAAATGTTTCAAAATTTTCTCTATTCTGCAATACATGTTTTCATATAATTGTTAATTAATCCATTATATTCAAGTTGAGAAAAAAAAATTGATAGTTTTTGTTGTACCTACCTGGTAGTAGCCTGTAATAATTTAATAGTATCGTGTTCAAAATCAGAGAAAAAGAATTAGTACCTATTACCCACTATTTGACTGAATAATTGAGTAAAATTAATATGTATTTTAAACGATTTTTAATAAGATATCAAACAATTTCAGGAAAAAGAGAGTAAATTAATTGAACCCAAAAACTCCGAAGACAGCTGTTTTGAGGAACAATTACTTCAGAAAGAAATAGAAACAAAATGTTCGGATGACGAATATTTTTCCGATAACAACAATAATTATGATGGAGATGGTGACAAATCGTGTTCGGATTCCGACCTACTATTAAATCCTGCTAATTCCATGATACGTCAGTTAGTGAACAATGATAACTCAAATGCTGATTGTTACAATTTTAATATAGAATCGTCTGAAGATTTTATTCGAGATATAAATATGGGTACAAGTAGAAGAAGTTCCACCAACTCCGTCAAACGAGTAATTTTTTTTAATGATTACCCAACTACATTTTTTTCAACCTACGGTCAAAAATATTGTTTAGTTTTCCTTTTAAATTGGATTGAGTAAATAATAATTAAAAGTTTTAAGTACCTACCTATATATATTACTAATTGAGTCCCGTGGCATTTAATATATAATAGGCACTAATTGAGTCCATGTCTTAATACTAAAACTATCCTTCAAATTAAAAAAATTTAATTCTCCTTTCTATTTTTGCAAACTTAGAACTGTTAATAACAAAAAGTTCTACCGGTGTCATTAAAAATGTTTTTCTCTAATGTTATTTAAAAAAATTGATTAATATAGATGTTTAACTTATGTATAATTCGGTTGATTAAAATAATAAATAGATAAAATAATTAAATTAATATTGATAAAAAAAAGTATATGCTAAATTTTGTATTTAGATTTTGTATTCATCAAATCTTCATATTTATTTTGAATGCATTTTCAAATGCGCTATTTCTATAATTTATTTTTCTATGGTTTTTGAAAAG